GGCTACATCAGCGCCTGTCCACCGATGCTGGGGGTACGTCGTGAAATACGTGCCTGCCAACGCCGTGATGAGACCATTCGTAATGATCTTGGTCGCGATTGCTGGAGTAATGGCTGAACCATCGACAACAAACAATTCGATGACGCTTGAATCCCATCTCCCATTTGGCAGCAAGGCCAAGAGTAACCTGGTTGACAAACGACTCCGCCCAGAGCAAAACACTTTCAACATTCGTTCGCGATACCGCTGTGCAGACAACGGCGGTACACCTTGGCGAATATGAACACCTCTCGCCTTGATCTCCTGTCGCAACGCCTTTCGAAAACAATTGAGCTGGCCAGCCACGTTGATACTCAAACTGTGGCGAATCATGCCTGTGATGTCGGTCTGCGTCAGGGCGAAAACGAACTTGAAGACCGTTGCCGTGACGTGAACGTCGCAAGCACTCCACACGCGATGCCAATCTTGATGCTCTGGGCTGGAGACGTACGATGATTCAACCACCAAGTTAGAAGAGCCTTTATCAGTACATGCCGATCTCAATTTGCGGGCGAATGTGTTGGCTATCGGGGAGACAGCCGATTGGCGAACGAGAGCTTCCTGTACACACTTTGCCGTGCCCCTCTCCAAGACTTGCAAGTGCGTGACCGACGGCAGCACCAGATACAAGTATTGGCCACCCATGCGAAGAAGCATGCCCATGCCAACTTCAGACTGGAAGATTTTTGAAGATTGGCCAACTGTCGATGTACGCTCACATAAGACTGGAGTCCATGCCTGAATGCTCGAAGATTCTGGCCGCAGGCCTTCAATCTGCATCCTGCCTACCATGTTCTGCGGAAGCAAATCATCCATTGACGATGCCCCAGCTGTCTTGACCCTCATCGGCGTCTCGTCGCATCTGGACATATCAACAAACAGGAGCCGATCTCGAGCAGGGACGCTGCGCATCACAGCCTCCTGCACAGACCATTGCAAGGAAGCTTGCCCGTTGATAATGCAGGCTGCCAAGATATGCGCGCGAGATTTCAATACCTTCGTTGACACATTCATGTTTTGAGCGCTGGCAGAGGATGAAGCTAATTTGACTGTGTCAACTCCCAGCAAGTGCGCACCGACTGTGAGTGTGTCTGCATCGAGCTGTGCACCTGGCTGCTGCGATGACACAATGCAATCCATAAGATATTTTGATAAAGGCCATGGCGTGCTGAATTGTCGATTCTGCCGCAATCGTAAGAATGCACCTTCTCCAACTTCGTAGCACAACTGGGGTCGAACTCCACTGGCTGCCAATCGTTCGTCGTCAGCTGGCGGTCGTCGCAGTTCCCTCGGCACTGGTGCCACTGGGCGCTGATCCACCGCCAGCTGCTGGTCACCGAGCCGCTTCTCCCAGCCTGGTCTGCGCCCCCTCCGCCTCTGCGGCGGCGGCGGCTGCGCCAGAAGCGCGGCCAGTTGGGCCGAATCCAGCTGAGAGTCTGGCTCTGGACGTGGCTGCTCTGGAAGGCCGTCGCTCTCGGGCTGATCCTCAAGGTCAGAACTGCTGTCAGGCCGGCGCTCAAGCTCGATTGCGTCGGACCAGCCAGTGATCGACCCTGGCGATTCTGGAACAACTGGGTCAATCAAATCAGACCAGCTCCCATTAGACTCTGCATCCATACGCACGGACAAGGGCCCGTGAGACGCCACAGAACATGTTTGGGCCAAAACAGCAATGGGAAATAAACAATTATCGCTGTGCTATCGACACCACCATACCCTAGCAGGCAAACGTTGAATCACGTTCACTTTTTAGGGGGGGATATGCAGCGGGGAGTTGTTCCCGAGGACAATTTGGGCAGGAGGGTTTAACGCACTATCTCCCCGAAGGTTTACGATCAGCTCTTTTTAGTACAACTTTGACGGGGGGGCTGAGGACAACTTTTGGACAACTTTTGGGCAACTTAATTATTTCCAGGAATCCGAGGTTCTCAAGCGCAGGGAAACCTCAACCAAAGGGCCCCCCAGGACCTGCAGGAGACCAGCGCCCCCCCGCCCCCCCCCCCCTCGGCGGCCCGGCAGCCGCCAGCGCCCTTCTCGGAATCCCCAAAGGGGCCATTAGCACCAGCGCCCTGAATTGGGCTTGGGGGGGGGGGGGGGGGGGGAAGGGGAGGGGGGAAGGGGGGGTGTGAATCTCAGATAGATTTCTAGGGTTCTGTGTGACTGGAGCTCCCGACCCTATGTCCGTCCCGTTCGGGTCCTCGGAGCTCTTGAACCCATGTGCAACCGCCCGCGCGTGCTCTGTTTTCCTGTCCGTAGCCGTCCGGCTTATAGCCGGGCCAAGAGGCCCCTTTTGGCGATTTTGACATATCGGTCCGAAGCTCAGGGGGGCCACGCGAGATAGAAAACGAGTTTCTCTCATCATCAACGTTGTGCTCTCACTTTGGACAGTATATCCAAGCTCTACGAGCCCACCGTTTTCTGCTGTATTTCAAGCTCTGCGAGCTCAACATCTCCGCCTACCTACACAACCCTGAGGATCATATCCTAGTGCTTGTGAGGGTTTCTCGAAGTGAAAGGCTGAAGATCCGTGGAAGACACGCTCCACTGACATTGGTAGCGAGACAAAGTGGCAGCCCACTTCGAGGTCGATCTCCAAATCAAGATGGCGAACGATCAGCAGTCCGGAATCAAGATTCCTGTGTGGAATGGTGAGGCCTCCACTTTAGAGAGTTTCGAGGAAAAGGTTAAGTTGTGGGTCCTGGGCACAAAGAAGGATGACAGGATCTACCTCGGCCCGCGTTTGGTTCAGGCAATGGGCGAGGATTCGCAGCAGTGGTTTGAGGCAAAGAAGGTTTCGCTCGACGACCTCGCCACGGAGGACGGAGCGGAAAAGGTCGTGGAGGCGCTCAAAGGAGTTAGAGGCACGGTCACGATGCAGGAAGCTGTGTCTAAGTGGCGAGAGTTCATGCGTGGAGTGCATCGGCATCCGGGTGAAGGTCCAAAGAGATGGGTTTCTCGCTTTGACATCCACTTGAGCAAGATCGGTAAAGCCCTCCACGCAGTCTGTGACGAGATTCCGGCCCAAGGTTTCATGCGCGAGTTCATCCTAGGATTGATCCTGCTGGACGGGACGGGCTTGGACCCGTCAGAGCAGGCCGCGGTGCTGGCGACCAGCGGCCCCAAGGGCAACTCATACCTCTACCAGGACGTGAAGAAGGCGCTAGCTGAGCAGTGGTCGGAGGAGCAGCTGGCATCGCGGGACAAGCAGAAGGGATACAAGGCCAGGAAAGGCGCTAACGCGGTCTTCGACGACGCCGACGAGCTCGCCGCCTACGCCGAGGAGGTCTACGACGAGGCGTACATCGACGGGTTCGAAGAGGCGGCAGACATCACGGAGTCGGCGATGACGGCAGCCGAAGACCTAATGACCGCTGCGCTCGGGGAAGAGCCTAGAGGAGACGAGGAGCAAGGAGAGGATGCGCTGGCAGCGGCGGCCTCGACTCACGAGACGGACGAGTGGACGGAGACGGCCTTCGCGGCTTCGAGGACGTTCGTGGAGGCGAGGAAGCTGATCAACGAGGTCAAGAACGCCAGAGGCTACTTTCCGGTGGTAGGTCTGGGCGCCTACGACGCGCTCCCGACTCAACCCGCCGCTGGAGCTGGACGCGGACGTGCAGTGAGCCGGGGCGGACCGCCTCGCAAGGGCAAGGGCAAGGATCGAGGCGGAGTGGCAGGCCGCGGCAAGGGTCGTGGTCAGAATCAGAAGCGTCCAGCAGCAACCCCGAAGGACTCGAACCCAGGGACCAACGAGAAGTTCAAAGGGGCTTGCCTACTCTGCGGCGAGCCAGGCCACAAGGCAAGGGACTGCCCCAATCGGGGCAACGGCGGCGCCCAAGGGGAGAGGCGCCGGGCTTTCAACAGCTTCGTCGGCGCGGCCGACGGCTATAGCAAGAAGGTCGAGTTCAAGGACATCCAGGACGTGTTCGTCGGCACGGTCAACGACGAGGGCGAGTCCAAGGACTGCGACGAGGAGGAGCTGGACGAGTTCGTGGCCTTCAGCATGGACGAATGCAAGGGCTACGCGCTCCTGGACGGTGGAGCGTCCAGATCAGTCGGAGGCGTGGAGCAGCTGGAGTACGTGAACGAGCGCCTGAGTGAGCCCATGGAGGTCAGCCCGGACAAGAGTCTGGGATTCTCATTTGCTGGAGGCGACCGGGCAGACGCACCCTCACGGGTGACCTTTAACGTGAAGGTCCTGAACGATGAGGCTGTGAGCATCTACGTGCTGGATCGTAAATCCCCGGTGCTGCTTGGAATCGATATGCTGAAGAAATACGGGCTCGTGATCGATTACTTCCACAACACCGTGTACTCTCATCGGTTCAAGCGTGAGATCCCTAGTAGAGTGCTCCCGTCAGGTCACTTGGCACTGAACCTTGCTGCTCTGGGCAACGAGGCCTCGGGCGCCAGCAGCGAATAGGGACAGCACCCTGGTCGCGACAAAGGGACTGTGGAAAAGTCGTCGTCCAAGTCTGTCGCCACCAGGGGCCCCAAAGACGCCAATGAGCTTCCCCAGATGCTCCAGAAGTTGCTCGAGGTCAGTGTCTCCATCATGGGCCCCTACCCCGAGCTAAGCCAGTCTATGCTACAACCTATTCTTTGGTATCTATGGGAACGGGCGGACTGGAAAGAAGGTGCGAGAGTTAGTCGGGATATATGGGTCGACTGCTCACACGCTCTAGTTCGGGTTCATCATCGGGTTCGTTTTCAGAGATGTGATCTTCGAGATTTTGAAGCTCTTAGTTTAGCCAGCTTATCGGGGAAACGCCACACTCACATGATTCGAGAAGACGGGGAACACATGATGATCATCGAGAGACTATCGAATAAAACAGCTCGACAAGTCGAACATTCAAGATGGGTCGGTCTCACTATCTACCCACGATCCTTGTGTTCAAGAACCGTTTCGGCTCAAGAAGTTCAACGAAGCAGGTCTCAGTTCGAGAGCGCGTTCCAGGCTGATGTCGAAATGCGCCCATCTGGACCAGATGCGTCAGGGGTCCAACCGTGTCGTGGACCTGATCCAGTGCAGGAGCTGCGGGGAGATCCTGTTCAAGCACCACTTCGCGAAGACGAGCGACCAGTTGCTACTCCAGTGTGTTCGCTCCCGGCAGTATATCCACCGCCTGGAGACCACGGGTACGGCCCAGCCCGTGGCGCCCAGGTTGAACCAGTCGAGCTCCTCGGACAGCGAGGCCACGGCGACGACAACGGCGCCAACGTCAATGCCTCCACCGAGCCCTCCAGGGGCCACCAAGAAGTTGCCCGAGCACCTGTCGGCCGAGGTCATTCGGAAGCTCACGGACACGGAGGTGCAGCATATCATCGAGAGCGAGAGGATCAAGATCCGCCAGGAGGAGCAGCAGCGCCTCGCGAAGGAGATCCTCCAGAAGGGCCTCATCGACACGCCGACGGACCCGACGGAGGTGGACGACAGGGCCAGGCCGAGCAAGAGGCTGGGCGTCAGCCAGATGCCCAAGGCCGAGTCGATTCCCGTGCCAGAGGATCTGCCGACACCGTCGGGACCGCCGAGGCCAGCCGGAGACCTTCATCTTGTGTGAAGAGCTGTGTATTCGGAGCGCTGATCGCGGCGACGGCGGCTCTGGGAGAGATACCGGGCACCGCCTGGGAGGCAGCCGAGACCTATGGCAGGCTGGACCTCGCAGAAGTGGCCTGTGTGTCCGACTCCAGGCTCACGCACGCGATGATCGAGCAAGGAGGCAAGGCCGAGAGATTCAGCAACTGGAACGGGTATGACTTCTCCACCAGGTCGGGCGCAGAGAAGCTCGTGAAGGCTTTGCGGGTCAAGAGGCCTCGAAGAGTTTGGTTTTCCCCACCGTGCGGAGCAGAGTGCCCATGGCAGAATCTGAACCCCGTAACGGCGGAGTCGGAGAAGAAGCTGATCAAGACCAGACGTATCCAGCGGAACGTCAAATGGGCTATCGGTCAGCTGCTGAACGAGGGCTTCTGCGACATATACCTCGAGCAGTCGGGACGCTGCAGGTCGTGGACAGGCAACTTCAAGGAGCTCAAGGAGTCCATGCATGGCTGCAGGATTCACGGGTGCATGGTGCATGTATGATATGAGAGACGAGCAGAGCGGTCTCCTCATACGCAAGGACTGGCACATCGCGACCACTGACCCGCAGTTTGAGAAGAAGGTTGGGAGGACCTGCCTTGACTTGCATCTGCATATGCCGCTGGAAGGCGGCACGAGGGTGGCACTGTCAGCGAATTATCCCGTGAACTTGTGCCGGAGGATCGCCCAGCACTTCATGACCAGGGCCACCTCGGACGAGGCCCTCGCCTATCTGGTGCAGGCCCACAACGAGTTGGACGACGAGCTGTGTGCAGCGGGCTACAGGCGCTTGCGGGAGAAGCGGCCCGCCTCTGAAGGGCCACCACCGCCGCCGCCGAAGCGCCCAACGCTGGAGCCCACAGCTCCCGAGGGTCAAGGAGAAAGCGCAGGCGGTCAAGTACCAGCTCCTGATCCTGACGAAGCTGGAGATGCTCAAGTCCCTCCAGGAGGCGAGGCGCCCCCGACGACGCCCGAGTCGGGAGGTCAAGAGCAGTCGATGGGCAATCTCAGACTGCCACTGCCAAGGAGTGTCCAGAACTGTACCAAGGCAGAGTTGCGCGAGCTGGAGGCCATCATCGCACACATCCATCGGAATTTCGGACACTGCAGTATGAGCACGGTCAGCGCCGCCCTCAAGTCTCGCAAGGCGGACCAGAAGCTCATCGACCTTTGCAGCCACTACGAGTGTCCGGCCTGTAAGGCAGCTCAAAGGTTTCAGATGCGACCTATTGCCAGCTCAGAACCAACGTTACCCGCTCCTGGTACCGAGATGGGTTGCGACAATTTCTATTGGACACATCCTCGACGAGCCTACCAAATTCGTGGGACCCTCTGTGCAGACTATGGCAGCCGCTTTACCCAGACGTCGATTCACTGTCAGAAGGGGGTCGAGGAGCATTGCGGCAACACCACCGCGAAGGAGATGAAGGAGGTAGTGCTGAAGGACTGGATCCACCACTACGGCAAGCCAGAGGTTTTCAGGACAGATCCCGAGGGTTGCTTCAAGCAGGTCGAGCAGCGCGCCTGGGTCTCGGGTAACGGCATGGAGCGGAGACCGGAACCCGGAGAAGCTCACTGGCGAATGGGAGTGATCGAAAGGTGCATCGAGACCGTCAAGGAAATCGCCACTCGCCTCGCCTGGGAGCTACCAGACGACACAGATCCCGCGGACATCTTTCGCTGGGCTTGCGTGGCCAACAACGACCTGATGCGACACCAAGGCTACAGCCCGATGATGCTCATGATGGGTCGCACCCCGTCGGGGCAAGGCCTGGAGCAAGTGGAGAATCCTTCGGTCCTGAGCGCAAATGTGGTGGGCAAACACTTCCAGGAGGTCACGCGCATCAAGGCGGCTGCCTACAAGGCGCGCGTGGACCACTACCTGTCGGAGAAGACGAAGCGTGCCCTGCTGGCCAAGGCGAGGCCGTTCAAGACATGGGAGCCTGGTGAGAAGGCACACTACTGGCGAGGTGCGAAGGGTAACAGTCACAAGACTCGACCAGGTATCGCTGGTCGATTTCACGGTCCCGCCACTGTCTTGATGCAGGAGCGCGAGATGAAGAACGGAGTTGCGGTGCGTCGAGGAGTTGTCTGGCTTGTTGACGGTGACCGTCTCGTACGAGCAGCTGCCGCTCACCTCCGCACGACTACGAAAGCGGAGCGGACCCTGGAGAGCATCTCCGCAGGGAGCTCCGACCACTTCAAGAAGATTCTTCAGGAGTTGACGAAGGGTGCGTACGACGATGTGGTGGATCAGCCTGGTCCGGGAGAATGGGACGATATTCCAGAAGGAGAGAACGTTGAAGTACCAGACCCACCCAGGATGACAACTCCAAGAAGTATGGCATTTCATCAACCTGATGATCACGAAGGCGAAGCGGGGTCGGGCTCGAGTGGCCACGAAGGGGCCGCGCCTGAGGTCTCACCGCCTCCAATGCCCGCGCAGAATCCAGCTGAACCAGCACCGACGCCGACCAGAGACCAGATCGACGAGAGCGAGCCACCACCAGAAGGTTACAACAAGCGGGAAGCCAGTAAGGAACCTTCTGAAGATCCAGATCCCAAGAGACATCGCGCCGACTTTGCTGGGTACGTGGGCCATCTGCGCCAGAAGGCGCCGACGCTTGTCATGCCCGAGCTCGGTCGTGCCGAGCCCGAATCTGAGGGCAGTGCGAATTGGGTCTCACCCTGGGAGCATGATCAGAAGACGAAGGCTTCCGACCTGGTGGGCTTCGCGGGCGAGGACGAGCCGAACCTCGCGATCATGATCGGCTTCGCGCTGGAGGAGTCAGATATGGATCAACTCAGCCGGAGGCCTGACAAGGCCCTCGCCGCGATGGTCAAGCAGAACAAGGTCGAGGTGAAGCTCAAGAACCTTACGGCAGAGGACCGTGAGAAGCTCCCGATCGCGAAGGGTAACGAGATCAAGTCTTTCCTCAAGTATCGAGTCTGCGAGGCAGCCAGTCGTGCAGGAGTACACCCTGGAGCCCTGATGAAGATGAGATGGGTCATTACAAGGAAAGAGACGGGCGACCTTAAGGCTCGTTTGGTGGTTCTTGGCTTTACCGATCCGGGACTTGGGCGAATCAAGACCGCTTCCCCCACATGCAGTCGTCGAGCTCGCCAGGCTTTCCTGGGCGTCTCTGCCTCGATGGGCTTTCAGGTCTTCAAGGGTGACGTCAAGGCAGCTTTCCTACACGGCGATCTCGGAGAAGAAGATCGAAATGTCCTGGCCGAACCAGTCAAGGAACTTAGGGAAGCCATGCGACTCGAGCATCACCAATGCGTCAAGCTCAAGAAGGCAGTTTATGGTCTGGTGAACGCTCCTCGCAGATGGTGGACGAGAGTTCGCCGGGATATGGCCAAGCTCGGCTGGGTGGAGTCTACGACAGAACCTTGCCTGTGGTGTTTACGAGAACCTGGAGGACAGCTCATAGGTCTGGCCGTAGCCCACGTGGACGACTTCATGATTGCGATTGACCAGCACTCGGACCTTGCAGTGGACGCCCTCCAGCAGCTCCATCGAGCCTATGAGTGGGGAAGCTGGGAGACTCAAGATTTTGTTCAGTGCGGGACGCGGATTCGACAATAATATGATGGACGCACGAAGTCATGGGGCCGTATCCATCTTAACATGAATGACTACGCCCAGGAGCTCGTGGAGATAGATATTCCCGCACATCGACGTCGTGATCCTGAGCAGCCGGTGACATCGTCAGAAGCTACCCGTCTACGAGCCGCCTTCGGTCAGCTCATGTGGTTAGCTACGCAGGGCGTGCCCCTCATCGGGGCAGAGCTGTCACTGCTGCTGGCTTACAGTAATTCCGCCACGGTGAATACTCTCCTGCAGGCCAACAAGCTCATCAGGCGCACCAAGTTCGAGGCGACCAAAGAACTCATCATGGAAAAGCACGCGAATCCGTGTGTGGTCGGCTATTCGGACGCAGCCTGGAATGTTCGACGCGATGGTTCTTCACAGGGTGGTTTCTTGATCTTTCTGACCGACTATACCTTGATGCAGAACCGAGAGGCGCCGATCTCTTTGCTGGCTTGGGCATCGGCGAAGTTGCCGAGAGTGTGTCGGAGCTCGAGCGCGGCCGAGGTACAAGCCGCCAGTGAAGCTCAAGAGGAGCTAGAGTTTTGTAGGCTGCTGCTGAGCGAGATCCTGCTGGGACCCGCGCCTCTCAAGCAGTGGACTTCAAGCTGTGCGAAGATTCCTGGCGCTCTGGTCCTGGACTGCCGCGGCGTGTTCGATGCTCTGGATCGGTCCGAGAGCAGCGCCCTCGGCATGAAAGACAAGAGGAGCGCGCTGGAGGCCCTAGCCCTCAAGCGCGGCATGGCCGCCACATCCACATCCCTGAGGTGGTGTCACAGCGGTGCGCAGCTGAGCGATTGTATGACCAAGAACTCGGAGAAGGCTCGCGCCAGCTACAACCTTTGGCAGCAGCGAGGCACCTGGAAGTTGATATACGACGCTAAGTTTATTTCCGAGAAGCAGAGAAGACAGCGAGGACTGCAGACACTAGACCAGGCCACATATTTCGCAGTTGATGACGACGATGCCTGGCAGTTGTACCCGGAGGATTTGGAGATCGAGGAGGAGGCAGATATTCCCCAAGACTTTCGTCTTCCGGAAGCGGTGAGCGTGATGAGACATGATGCTACCTCCGTGCAGTAGCCTACGCCACCTAAGGGGAATATTCTGTGTGTACAGCAGTTCTTTCTCACCCCCCTGAGCGCGAAATAACTTTACTATTTTAAACGGCCGGCCGTACAGATGGTTCGGGGCATGTGAATCTCATATAGATTTCTAGGGTTCTGTGTGACTGCAGCTCCCGACCCTATGTCCGTCCCGTTCGGGTCCTCGGAGCTCTTGAACCCATGTGCAACCACCCGCACGTGCTCTGTTTTCCTGTCCGTAGCCGTCCGGCTTATAGCCGGGCCAAGAGGCCCCTTTTGGCGATTTTGACATATCGGTCCGAAGCTCAGGGGGACCACGCGAGATAGAAAACGAGTTTCTCTCATCATCAACGTTGTGCTCTCACTTTGGACAGTATATCCAAGCTCTACGAGCCCACCGTTTTCTGCTGTATTTCAAGCTCTGCGAGCTCAACATCTCCGCCTACCTACACAACCCTGAGGATCAGATCCTAGTGCTTGTGAGGGTTTCTCGAAGTGAAAGGCTGAAGATCCGTGGAAGACACGCTCCACTGACAGGGGGGGGGGGGGGGGGGAGCCGCCAGAACGGGCCCCAGGCGGCTTCAGAGGGGCGCAAGAAGGGGCCAAGAGCGGTCCAGGAGGGGGGCAAAAGAAAGCTGCAAGAGGACATCCTTCTTGGGGCCCGCCTGGGGCTTCTCTTGGAGCCCCTGTCTTGGGCCCCCTCTTGGATCACCCTTGGGGCCGCCCTCTTGGGCAAGAAGGAAGCGCCAAGAAAGCCCCAAGAGAGCTCCAAAAGGGGGGCCCAGAGGAAGGTTCCGAGATGGCCTCAAGGGAGCCCAAAGGGGAAGCAGTCGTGAGGCAGCAAGCAGGAGGAGGGGAGGAGGACCCGAAGGCAGGAGATGCTCATTTGCCCGATCGGGCGGACGCTCCCCGCGCGAGGCGGCCGTCCGCCGAAGTCCTCATCCGAGGACAGCAATGTCGTAGAACAGCATGTGGGTGGCTTGAGAACCACCCCGTAAGTAAGCAACCCACCAGTTCGAGAACGCCCATGATGCAGCCAAGGAAGCCCCAGCACACGCCATCGAAGATGATGATCGCGGGGGTCGTCGCATCCCAGTCGACGAGGAAGCCGAAGTCCAGGTCGATCCCGCAGTAGACAAGGAAGCCGAAGCCCATGTAGTGGATCCCACAGTAGACAAGGAAGCCGAAGTTCAGGTCGAACCCGCAGTAGACAAGGAAGCAGTAGAAGTCCAGGTCGAACTCGCAGTAGACAAGGAAGCCGACGAAGTCCAGATCGAACCAGCAGTAGACAAGGAAGCCGCAGTAGACAGGGAAGTTGACGAAGTCCAGGTCGCACTCGCAATAGACAAGGTCGCAGCAGTGCGCGATGGGACCGCAGCCCATGAGATGAACGTGGGTTACCTCAGTCACTATCGGCGCTGTTCCTGTCGCTTGACGAGGACGAGGAGCTCGAGTCCGAAGAGCCCCCGCTGGCCGAGCCCGAGTTGCCGCCCTCGTCACCAGGGCCGTCATCATGCGGCGCGGCCTCGGCAATGGCCTTGGCCGCCGCGGCGTTGGCCGTGGGCTTTGTTTGCAGCAGTACTGGCCTTAGCCTTGGCGTTGGCTTTGACCTTTTTTCGCATCGCCCGCTGCAGGCCTGCGAACCGCGCCAGGATCGTCATCTGACTCCCAATCGTCCGGGGGCTTCTTGAGTTCGACTTCAAGGTTGGAAGGTGTCTCCTTGTCCTCTGGCTTGAACGCCTGGCGGTCGCCCATGCAGCCGTACTTGGGGCACTCATTTAGCCAATGTTTTAGCCACCGCTGCACCTTCTGGCTCTCAGCCTCCGATTTGAACGGCCTCGACTGCCTGCATTGGAATTCCGGGTGCAACGGGCCAAAGTGGCCGCAGTTCCACCTCCGACCTTGCGCTTCCCATGTGTTTGGCAGCTTGGAAGACGTGAAAGAAGGCCCCACCAGCATGAGTTTTCGCGAAGGCGCCCACCTGGCTCGAACGGGCAGTCTTTCCCCCCAGGCAATTTCCACAACTGTATTTTTTTTCGCGTGCCACCTTTCTCCGCACCAGCCTTCCGTTCGCGGCCGCGGCGACAGTTATCGCCCAGCGTGTCAAGTGCGAGGGCAGACGAAGACATGATGCGGACCTTCCGAGACTCGCCTCTCAGCAACTTATTGTAATACGGGGGCGATTTGAGGTGCATCACTTCCTCCTCTTCAATGCTGTCTAGCTGGCGCAGCATCAATAGATAGTTTATAACTAAACACACATTACCGCTTCGTACCCACCATACTTTTGGAGCTGCTTTGCTGACTTGCACTGGGTCTGGGTGCGTAGTTTTGTCGTGCCATACTTCGCCATACCACCCTTGTGAGTATGGGTAAGACAAGAGCTCGTACGTGCTCATCTTATCCTTCGCCTTATTAAAGTTGGCCTTGGTCGCCACTGTAGTGCCCTTAAATCCGAGTGCACGTTTCAATCATTTCCTCGCCGGCGCATGTAATCACCCAGCTGCTCGTGTCGTCGGTGGATGCCGTCTTAGCAATGATGCCAGCATCGGCAAGCTTGCCCATGACCTCTAGCAGATCGGCGTCGTTGTGCTCGATCGTGTAGCAGCATCCATTCATCGGGCTCTCCTTTGCTAAGCACCGCATCAGATGCCCTATCGCCTTGCTCACCCTCTCCCGCGGTACGCCCTTCAAAAAAGAAATCCCAACAACATACAATGGAACATCCTCCAGCTCGCAAAGCTCAATGGTATCCACGGCGTCGGTAAGCTCGTGCATTGACAACACATGTCCACTGGATACATTTCTTCTGCTGGAAATGCACTCCTTGCCTTTGCCCAGCGAGCCCGCCCGATAAGTGCGCATAACAATGTCTCCCTCGGACAAGAGGTTGTTCGCAGACTTGCCGAGGATCTGCCGAGGAAGCTTCCGAGTGACCTCGAAGTAGCATGGCCCAGTGGCAAAGTCAAACTCCTCGGCATCGGCGGCAGCAGCAGCAACGGCCGACGATTGTTCGCCCTCGTCCACCATGCAGTCGCCATGCCCAACGATTTCGCAACCTGTAAACTGAAAGACATCTATCAGCATACTGGCGTCCACCACGTTGTCGTCCAGCTGGTCCAGTTGAACGTCGCTGGGCAGCTGCGCCTTCAGGAAAAGCACGTTGTCGAGATTTCGAAGGGCGTCTTCTCCCGCGAGCTTGATCGTGTAAATCTGCCCAGGGAAACATTGCTCAAGAAGTGGGTGACTGTTGCCGACAGAATCGCCTTGCTCGCAGTATCTTTATCCACGGCCTCCTTAGCCGCAGGTACCATCACGAATGGCTTGCCTGGGGGGCCGCCGCCACCGGGACCGTTGTTCCCTGAACGCGTTTCGCGTCTGCCAAGGAGACGGCGGGGGAGGGGGCGCGGCGACTTGGGCTGACCCCGATCCGACCCCCGGGGCGATCCGACCCGAGCCCCGACCCTGATCCGAGCGCCGACGCTGATCCGATCTCGCCAGGGCGAGGGCCAGAGGAACGATGAAGCGTGTCCCCGAAGCGACCTGGAGCCTTGGGCCCGAAACGCAATGCCTCCGACCTGACCTAACCCCCTCCCCCGCCCCCACTGGGCTTACCCTCTTGACCCAGATGGCGCCGCAGACCCCGCCAGGAGGGGGCCCCTCCCGCCGCCGCTGCCACGGCCGCGGCCGCGGCCAGCGCCGCCGCCGCCGGCGGGCGCCCCGCCTCCGCCTGGGCCGCCAGAACCGCTGCTGGCAGGGCGCCCGCCGCCAGCAGCCGCGGGCCCTGGCGGTGGCGCCGGGCGCGAAGGCAGCTCAGCTCCACCGCCCTGACCGTCGCCGCCGCCGCCACCTGGCGGGCCGCCGTTGCCGCCATCGCCCTCGAAGATCTCTGGGAGCTCAGCGAACTGCGTCTGGAGATCGCTCCTGTTGACGACTCGGCGCGCCACACAATGCTTGACCTGCGCAGTGTCATGGCCAGCCTTTGACTCCAGTACATAGGGATGCGCATTGAGCTTCAACTCGTCCAAACCGGCCTGAGCAGCGCTTGCCGATCCGAGCTTGGCCGCGAAAGGCCGCGCTCGCTGCGGCTCTAACTCCAAGTACTCCACGATTTCCCCTTTTGCGGAGAGCCAGGCTCGCGTAGGCCTCGCCGTGGTTGTGTCCGATGATATGACGATGTAGTTGGGCGTGGTCCCGCTCGATACTAATCTCAATGTTGGAACAGGAAAATGCCCGAACTCTAAGAGCGCTGATCTCAGGGAAGTCTGCGAAGCTACGTCCATGTATGATCTCCAAGCATTGGCCGCGAAGGCGGCCTCCAGGAGTGAAGAGCTCAACCACTCACGGGCACGGCGGGTCGCCTGGCCCTCGCGCGTCAAACAAGCCCATGGCAATAAGAAGCCCTGCCCCGGCCTTGCGCTCGAGCGGGTGCCCGATGGCCATGGCGCGAAGTGGCAACTGATAACAGCTCATCAGGCGCAGTCGAAGCTCCGACGTGATGAAGTTCTTGCCCGTCTCGAAGTTCCTCCACGCTCGGGGCGTCGCAGGCTGGCTAAACGACTGCAACAAATACAAGAGCCTGGCAAAAGTCACACGGGGCGTCTCCTGCAGAACCGCTCTAGCGCACCCGAGGCGATCTCAGCGACTCGCCGACTCGACGCATTTCATCATATCTGGCTTGAAATCCATATCCCTGCACCGATGGTAGGGATGGCACCAGCAGCCCGTGCAAAAAAAACACATTTAGTTTGCGCAGCAACATACTGAACACATACACGAGCTCAATGAAGCCCCAGAACAGATCACTCTGAAAAGCTCTCCCTGTTCGGCGAAAGTGCTCAGTTTTCCCCTCGTCATCTGCTCCAGCAGCGGCGCGCCCGTTCATGACGTCCTGTGGGCTGGCCCCTAAACTCCCCCCTCCCCCCCCCCCCCCATTCCCTCCCCCCCGGGAGCCCTCCCTCCTCTCCCCGCGCCTCCCGCTTCATCCTCTCCTCCCCTTCCCTCCTCTTCCTTCTTCCTCCCCACCTCCCCCCTCGTCCTCCTCGCTTCCCCTTTCCCCTCCTCCATCCCTCTTCCTCCTGCCCTCTCCCCCAGTCCTCTTCCCCCTTGTCCTCCCCCCGTCCTCCCCGGGGGCCCCCCTTCTCTGAATTTCCTCATGCCCTCTTCCTCTTTTCCCTCCATCCCCCCCTCCTCCCCAGGAGGCCCCCCTCCTCTCTCCTCCTGTCGTCGGCGCAAGTTTGGGGGGTCAGCGTTGTCCTGGTTCCAGGCAACAGCGCAGAGATGGCGTCGCTCTCGGAAGTACGTCATTATCTGCACGAGGACCCCCCGCACCCGTCCGCCCTCAAATACTGGCGGCCCCGTCTTGAACAAGAGCCTCCAAAATGCCCGATCGCCTGTGAGCGCCTCCGCGAGGTACTCGCGCGTATGTCGATGGTGGAACGCGAAGGCAACCGGCTCGATCTGGGGCTTGGTCCAGCAAGCCTTGCTCGACCAGCTCGACCATGTGGCACGTGCCTGGCGCCATAATGATGTGACGACCAGATAGGACGGGGTCGTCGTCGTCGTCGTCGTCGCCCGCGAGATCCAAGCCGTCGCCATCGACGAACGGAATGTTCCGCCAGTGCGGGAACATTGAAGAGGCGCGAACCCTGAAACCGTTGAGCATGCTCTCTGGGCCACCATCCACGGCCACGCAGAACATGCACTCAAGGAGGTCCTGGACGCGTCGCCAACTCTTGCTCTCCAACCTGTGGCTGTGGAGAAACACGTGGACTTTATGACCTGCGCTCGAATGCCGAGCGCCCAAGCCACCTGGTGGGGGCAGATGGCGGTTGATGTCTGCGGCGATCTCAGTATTATATTGTCGCATCTGCCATGCCCAGTCCTCCGGTGGATCGTCGCAATGCCCCAGCTCGCCCATTTTCAACGCAACTTGAAACACGTAATCCAATCGATCACCTTTGGTATGGCTGTACTCCATCAGGCACCAATTCCTTCCGCCCTGCGGGGAGGAATCGAACGTCGGGAACAATGCGCCGCTGGATGACGTTCAAATGAACGTCTGGCATGTGCAACATCCACGAAACATCCAAGCACAGTCTCGCCCTGCTAATGGTCGCTGGGCTCTGCCACATAGTGCCAGACAACATGTTATCCAAGGCCGGCCGCAGTTAGATCCGGCGGAAAGCGCGACAATGCCCTCGAAATAATCCTACGAAGGGGGTTGGCGCGCCCACCATCAGCGACGTTCCGCAAGTGAAGAGCGACCGCAAGACAATTCAAAAGAAATATCGGATGGTATGAGCCTGCTACACGTGTATCGCCCACCAGCTTCATGAAGCCCCCTCTGCTGGCCCGCCGCCGCCAACTCCACGCGAGGAACTTCTCCCGCGTAAGGCTTTCAGCGCACGCGTCCAGCCAAGAAGTGAAGGTGGCGAGAAGCTCGCGCTTACCTTCGCGCCCCGCTGCTATCAAGGGGCTCCATTGCCGCAGCTGGCTTGCCATGGTCAAAAACATGTTGGCACTGAATGAATCCGTCGGCCTGTCGTCGCGTGGAGCTGCAGCCAGGGGAAGGCGGCGCGCCTCGCCGTTGGGGGCCGCCGCAACTTGATGTCGCAAGTCGCGCCAGAAGTCCAATACATGCCCTGCCGAGCACCGAGACCTGCAGTCGAAAGCCAGGGATTCCCACGCCGATATCGCGACGAGGCTGCCGAGCACGAAGGGGGGGCGCAAGCGCGCGGTGCAGGCCTCGCTCGGGCACTCCCAATCGGCGACCATCGCGCGAACAATGCGCCCATCGCCAAGCGCAGCTGCGTCAAGCATGATATCGACCGCAGGCTCTAACATGTCGAACATGACAAACGTCGGACTTCTCAAACCGCGATCATCAGAAACACAATCCATCGGCTCCGCCAAGGCCACAGCCTTTTCCACGCTGAAGTAACGCATGCGCCTGTAGCTGCCGCCGCTCCATGCGCGTCGCGGCTCGCGCCTCTGGTCCGATGCCCGGCGATAATACATCGTGCAACCGTGTACTTGCAGAGAACAATGCCGATCACTTTCTGATCGGCCTCAGCCTGGTCGCGAAGCGCGGGCGCGCCAACAGCGCGCAATAAGCTGATCTCGGCGTCTTCGATGGCCTGTCCGATGGCAGCCTTGTCATTGGCATCGAGGGCGGGCGGCGGCAAGGGCGATCGACGGCGGCGCCTCGATCCATCATGCGCATAAACCCATGCTGGGAACAAGAACTCGTCGTCGGCGCCGTCGGCGCCGCCGCCGCTCGTCTGGGCGCGCGGCGCGCAATCGCCCCGCCCGCGGCGGGCTCGAGGAGCCAAAACTGGCTATGGAGGAGGGCCCAGAGCCCCCGGGAGGGCGAGGAGGGCGAGGGCGAGGAGAGGAGAGGTGAGGAAGAGTCTAGGGGGAGATGATATGAGAGTAGATGGGAGAATAGAGAGGAGAGGAGAGGAGAGGAGAGTAGAGCAGAGGATAGTAGAGAAGAGCCCATGCAATGGATGAGGAGAGGAGGGCGAGGCAGGGTGAGGGGGGCGAGGAGGTGGAGGAATCGGAGGAGGGGGGGGAGAGGAGGAGGAGGAGGAGGAGGAGGAGGAGGAGGGACGAGAGGAGGATGGGGGAGGAGCCCTTTGCATTTTGACGCCTTGCCCCAGTCCTGCAGGGCGCCCGCCAGCGCCGCCGGCGCCACCGCCGCCAGCGGCAGCTCCAGCTCACTCATACATCCGACGCAGCGCCCCCTTCAGGGGCGCACCCGATCGCCTGCGCACCCGCGCCGATCATGGGCTCAAGATGCGCCTGGGTCAATGATCAGCGATCAGCGCGGGTGCGCAGGTGATCGAGCGACCCCTGAACCTCCATCTCCGAAAGGGCTGGCTCCAGGGCAGCCCGCTCCGCCGCCAGAGCGCGATCCCGCGCTGCGCGGGCGACGATGAGGAGGCGGTTCGCGCCCCGGGGCGCTCGAAGGGCGCGGTCGGACTCGATGAAGGCATGGTCGACCGCCGCCTGCAGCAGCTGGGGCGCCCAGGTCTCGCCCAGGTCGCCGCCTGCAGCAGCTGGGCGTCCACCGCGGGCCCCTCGCCCGCCGCGGCCGCGGCGTCGGCCGCCTGGGCCGCCGGGGCCCGCGCGGACGCGATGGCGGCCCCCGCCCCTTCCTCGGCGCCCGTCGCCGGGAGGGCCGCGGCCTCGGCCGCCAAACCTTTGGCCACCACGGCGTCGTCATCCACCTCGGCACCCGCGGCCGCCGACGCATCCGCGGCCACCGAACCTTCGGCCACCAGGGCTGCCGTGGCCTCGGGGTCCAACGGGAGCTGCTGCGCCCGCGGCCTTTTGGCAGCGGGGGGCGCCGAACCATCGCAACTCGGCCGTGGCGGCGGCGGCGTCGTCGGCGGCGGCGGCTGCGAGCGCCGCCGCCGCGCCGCCTCCGCCTCGCGCCCCGCCTCTGGCGGCGGCGGCGGCGGCGGCGGCAGCGGCTCCGTCGGCGGCGGCGGCTGCTGCCCAAGCCGCGCCGCGAAAGCGCGCCGCGCCGCGGGCGGCGGCGGCCCAATCGGAGGCCGCGGCCCCAACACCCTCGGCGGCGGCGGCCGACTCGGAGGCCGCGGCCCCGACGCCCGCGGCGGCAGCATCTCGGCCAGGAGGCCGCGACCGCAGGTTTGAGCAAAAAAAGGAGGAGGAGGGGAGGAAGGGAGGAAAAGAAGGGAATTGGGGGAGGAGAAGGAGGCGCGGCAGACACCCTACCTCTCCCCCTCCAGCACGGCTTACGCGCCTCGCTCGCGCCGCTTCTAGCGCCCCGCGCCTCCCCGCCCGTTTGCGCGCCGCGCTCGCCGCGCTCGCGCCCCCTCCCCCCCTACATGGACCAACAGCAGCCTTCGATGAAAGTTACTATGTAGCCAATCGGGTCGACGCCACTGAGACGAGGAGGTAGCCGGGTAAAAGAGCGGGGCCTCGATGTTGAGTGGAGTCCGCAGACCCGGTGGTCGTCGTTGAACCTGATGAAAATCCACCTTGGCCCATTCACGGACCTCCCATAGCTTTTTGTTTTTCTGGGCATATGCGGGTTGCCGCCGTAGCAATCCAAGCCGATGTCGCGCGGCATGTAGGGGTCCATGGCCTGGTAGGATTGCCTGACGTCGTCCCCCAGCTGCCAGGTCGTTGGCTACCACTGGTGACTGGCCAAACCTGAGGTCCAGCTGCTTGCTTAGTGCCTCAGCTATCGCATGGTACATACGCGATGGGTATTCCTTCGCAGCTGTGGTGCGCCAGTTGCCCTCGTGGTCGACCCCTGAGAGCTCTGCGTGGAACCTGGGGGCGTGGTGGCAGCGGCCAGCTCCAGGTGAGCGCCGAATCGCCCTCACGAGCTCGGGGAACGCGACGGCCATCAGGGTCATGGATTTCCGTGGCGCCGCTCCGCAGGTGCACTGGTCGAAGCTGCCTTTCTTGACCCCGCGATGGCAACATGGGTGGGCCGTCTCAGGCGGCCGCCAGCTGCTCGCCATGTAGTCCTCGCTGGGTTCAATAGGAGGCTCCAGCATACCTGGGATGTCATAAGTCGCGCATGCGTACATTTAGAACAGCTGGGTCCTGTACAGCCTGTTCCCCATTTTGACTTGCCCCTGCTCGCTTCTGCTGAGGCACGACAGCCCCCATAAGGCAGAGGCTGACCGCTGTGGCCGTGGTGGGCGTCCACGACGCTGTTTGGGAGGTAATTGCCGAGCCCTGCTCCACGTCTCACAGGGCGGGCCGCCCAGCACACCTCCCACTCGGCTTTCCCGCACGAGTCGTTGCCATAGCGCGTTGGCTGCCTCGTCGGTCAGGTCGCCGTATTTGCTGTTGTTCGCCACATCAAGACTCAGCATGTATACTCTAGATCCAGCAGCATGGTGTACGTTGTCAAACCAACTCTGGGTATCGCCTTCGCGCCTTCTGCCGCTGAATAAATGTAGTATGTAGATGATGTTTGCTCGTGGAGGCCGGCTAACGTGGGCCACGGCTGGCGGTGGCGCGTCGATGGTGGGCAGTTCTGGCCGTTCGTCGCTGTTACCTCTGTTTTGTAGCTGCTCTCCTTCGCGATCAAGCTCAGGAGGCTGAACTTGTACGCGGGCACGTTCCGCCAAGTCGACTGGGCGGCCAGCATGGCGGTTGGCTCGCTGACAAGCCCTCAGCAGCATATTGTTGTTATGCTGCTCCTCTGGCGATAATTTCTGGGGCCGCGTCGCGCGCCATTGCCGTCAACGCCGCTTGACCTTCTGCAAATGCTAAACCAAGCAATTGTACGCGTGGAACTGCGCCCCACAAGCCACGCAGATGGTGCCGGTTGCCCACGCTGTTGGGTGCGATCCCGTTGGGTGGTACCTGGCCATGGGGGTCCGTAGCTGCTGGGCAGAGGTATCCGTCTTTCCGTGCTCATAGCATATGCACTTTTCCTCGACCGTGGGCGCATGTCCTGGTGGCGCCTCCGCCTGGTAGTTATGAGTCCAATGTTGTAGTTGCCGCCTCCATCGGTCAAGGTGGTGAAGGTCATGCGCCTGTCCCCAACCTCGCCGGCAGGCCCTCTTCGTCGCGTGGAGGAAGCTGGCGTATTCAGACCTTCCCAATCTTCCCATTCGTCCAGGGCGCAGCCGCCCCCTCGTTCTTCGGGGCCAGTACGATCACGAAGCCGCGACAGATCTCGACGCACTGCGGCTGCCCAGCCGAAGTCGCTTACCTAGCGTTGAGCAGTTAGCCGCCGCAGATGGAGGGGGGCTGAGTTGAGTACCCCCCCGAAGAGACGAGCCCGTTCCAGCCTGAGTAGTACGTCGGGGGGCATTCGGTTCACGCCTTCCAGGACCTGCATATTTGTGACTTCGTTCCGTTGCCGCATATTCCATGTTATCCTCTGTGCCGCTGCATAGTTGACCACATGTTGGGCATTGAACTGCCTAGCTTGGCTCGCGGTGAGGATCGGCCAGGTCCCCGGTTTGTAGAGTAACTTCGAGAGCACCACGCTGTCTGCCAGCGCGGCCGCCTTTACTGCCACATCCACGCCCGGAGACCCGTCGTCCGTGATGTGGGTCCCGAGCAGCTTGTATCGTCTTACTACCTCCACCCTGCTGTTGGCCATGGGGACCCCGATTGAGCTGTCTTCGCCGGAAAAGAAGTCCCTCTTGGCCTGCCTGCTGCCTGGGCCTGCAAAGTGTACTAGCGGCTTCGTCTTGCTGATCTGGAGCTTGAGGCCAAACGCTGATGCTGCGCAATACGCCGGTTCGCAGAATGTGCTTGCCTCTTCGCGCGCCACCTCAGGGCTGGTGAAGGTGCGCATGGAAGCGAGACCGTCGACGAAGGACATGCCGTGCGGCTCGTGCCCCTGCAACTCCCTCTGGTCTGGGTCGCTGGGACAGGAGAAGCCTTCCTCCATGTGCTCGCCTGTCGCTCGAATGCCTCGTTCATGGAGTACTCTGTCGAGCAGCCTATGGGCATGGCTGAATAGCACGTTGAAGTCCGCGTCCGCAAGCGGGGCCCCTGGCCCTGTACCCTTGTGGGGCGCCATCACTCCTTCAGCGTATCGGTGCTGGTCCAGCGCGTGCGGTATCCCTCTGCAATGAGCGCTGCAAGGTGCGACCCCTCGATGACCCTATCCAATGTGCCAGGGTTGGCCAGTAGGTGCTCGCGCTGTGGTTGGGCCCATAGAGATACGTCGATACCTTCCAACGCCTCTTGTAGCTCCCTTTCTTCTCCTGGAGCCCCAAGGGCCACTTGAACCACCGCGGAGTAAAATGCCTCCTTGGGGTCGCAGCAGCTAATCCTAAAACATTTGCCCCGTTGCATGTCCCGCTCGTTGCATAGCCGAGTCGCCAGCATAACCACGCCCACTCTTAGGTCGGCCGCCAACTTGCACATCCTGAAGAGCCTGGGACAGCACTGCGCTGAGCATGGTGCGAAGGCATCGGTGATGGTGCTTCCCAAGCATGCTATTGAGTAATAGTTCTCGGTGAGCTTCAAGTACGTTCACATCTCTTTCCCCTTTCGGGGATCGCAGCCAAGTCACCGCACTTGAATGCCACGGGCTCCCTTACTTGGGTGGTCACCTTGGTGAGTAGCGGGTGTAGTAGGGCTGCGACTACCACTGGAGCTGCTCGCAGTACTGCATTGGCGGGCCCGTCTGGCCCACCCTGCGCCCCCGCCTCGGCAGTCGCCATCTAGGCCTGGCAGACGTCAAGGGGCATGGCGAGCATGAAGCCGAGCTCTCCTTTGAATGGCCGGACTTTGCTGCCCTCGCTGTACTTCTGCCAGGGCTTCTGCAGAGTAATTTGCCTGTCATATCGCAACATGCGCAACATCAGGTCAACTCAAGTGCAATATAATATGAATTATCTTGGTCTTGGGATCCGCCTTTGGTCTCGGACTGGGCATGCCCAACTATTCGGGCACCCCTGGTCCAGTTCGCCCTCAGCGTTTCGGCGCGTGGTTGGCCATCCTCTTCACGACCTGCCACAACCAACCACGCGGGGCAGGCCGACGCTGTCACGAACGACATCCCTGTTTCCTCTGGGACTCCTTCGTTCACACCAAAGTTGCCAAAAGATGTCAAGCAAAGTTATTGGAACCTGCTGCTTTGGTCTTCAAAGAAGGGAGGGAACAACTGCCTCCTCTTTCGCGACGCCGTCGACACCTGGCGGACTGGCCGCAGGTGCACCCTTTTTCTTTGAATGCCCGACCCCCCGCCCCCGTGACCAGGGCACTGACTGGAGCGCAGGACGGCGGAGCCGGCTTCGTATCCCGGTTCTCGGGCACCACAATCAGAACGCACGTGCGAAGCCCCCTCTTTGGTAAAGCGACCACTGCTACTACTCTGGCTGATGGGAAAAATGCTGCACCGCCGAAGACGAGACTTTCGGCTGATAACCAGTGATTTGCCTGTCATATCACAACATGTGCAACATCATGTCAACTCAAATGCAATATAATCGGCATTATCTTGGTCTTGGGACCCTCCTTTGGTCTCGGACTGGGCATGCCCAACTATTCGGGCACCCCTGGCCCAGTTCGCCCTCAGCGTTTCGGCGTGTGGTTGGCCATCCTCTTCAGGACCTGCCACAACCAACCACGCGGGGCAGGCCGACGCTGTCACGAACGACATCCCTGTTTCCTCTGGGACGCTTCGTACACACCAAACTTACCAGAAGCTGTCAAGCAAAGTTATTGGAACCTGCTGCTTTGGCCTTCAAAGAAGGGAGGGAACAACTTGCAGAGGTCATCTTGCCTGCCTGCACCTTCGCGAAATGCTGGAGCTCGCGCGTGGCGATGTCCACCGAGCTCTGGAGTACGTTCCCATCGGCATCCAATCGCGTCGGCCGAGCTGCAGGGAATCTGGATTCGCGTCCCACATGACTGGGTAGTGCGTTGTCCTGCTTCCGCTGCGATGCCGAATCGTTCCTTGGTTTGGCGTTGGCTGCGCTGGCCACCATATGACTCAGGAGTGCAGTCCGTTCCTTTTCTGCTGATTGTGCGACTGCTGGCCCTGGCAATGCAAGAAAAGCTGACCACGTCACGGTATACTCAAGCGGGTGCGATCGCCACTCGACGAAGTCTTTGGTGTGTTGCCGCAAGTGGTGCACACGGGGTTGGGGGCATTCCTGTCCAGCCGGATGCACGTCGCCTTCGAGCGCGGACTTGGCATGGAAGAACTACTTGCCGGGGTTGTCCTCTGTGGTCGACTTCTGTAATACCAGTCCGTGGACACGGCGCGTTAGCCTCCTTGCCCTGACTAGGCCTAGGGTGACCATCGAGATGTAGGGCTTGCGCTCTACTCTGACTGCTGGTCCAAAAGCTTGAAGCGCCGCGCCATCAATCGCCATGGCAACCGTCTCGCAATTGGCGTTGGCATCCTCCGCCCGCGGGATGGTGGGCGCTTGCTTCAGGATCGACTTGAATAGTGCGTGCGCTTCTGGGTCCTCGAGCTTGGTCATGCCAGGTCTTGGGCCCGCGGATTTGTTGAAATCATTGACCGTCCACTGGAGCAACGCAAGTGCAGGTATGTGATCCTCTGGTGTAACGCCGCGATCCAGCCCAGGCTCTGTCGATGATTCTGGAGCAGACTGGGCCAGATCTTGCCCAACCATCATGCTATCGATCCTGTGCTCCTGACCTTGGGAACCAGCATGCGCGCGTGAACTTGCCCCACTGTCCCTGGTAGTGCTGACGGCCTCCATGCCCGTAGCTGCTGCGAATGCGATAATCCTTTCGCCGTTGGCAGTCGTTGGCTCGGGATAGCCCTGGCCGCCAGTGCCTGGAGCCTCGTTGTCGCCCAGGTGGCCGTGGAGGTCCCCCATGAAGATGTCGACCTGGTATCTTCTCACTGCCTGGAGTGCCGCGTGCCAGATGGCGCCCTTGACTTCGGCTGCGCTTTCTTCGCGGGGCGTGCGGGGGGGGGGGGGGCGCGTGCTGATGCAACCGCCACCTCCGCGCTTGCTAGCTTGGTTCTCAGTGCTTGCAGGCGCTCGTCCTGGTGCGGAACGATGGTGTCCTTGGCACTTAAATGCGTTGCCCTTCCCGTGGTGGTGATCGGCAGCGCCGCGTTGAGCCAGATGTCGCATCCCCTGTTCAAAATTGCGCATTCTGATGAGCAGCATTAGGTCGCCGATTGCGCGCGCATCTGGGGTGGACTGCGCTTCCTGCAGCGCCGCGGTCGGTAGCCCAACGTCCAAGGACGGCGACGCGAGATGCGCCGCCTTTGACAACGCAGGGGCACCTTTGCCCTTGCCTTTCCGTCTTCTCGTTCAGGAACTGGACGTTGGCATTCAGGGACTTGGAATTGAATGCGCACAGTCGCACCTCCAGCTCTGCTTTGACCTTGGACTCCTCGATCTCGCGCATGAGGGCCTGCAGGCTGGCAGCGGGCTACGTGGTCCCGGTTGCGAAGGACTCACCAACCAGTTGCAAGGACGCTGGTCTGTGGTGAGCTGGTGCTTCGCGTATCCATTCCCAGGACTGGCACCCATATGCAGCAGTGGCCTCGGCTGCCTGGTAGTTCAACTCCATTAGGTGCATGTGCCCAGCGAGTTCTGCCACTCCATCTGCCAGCTCGTTCCAGGGGTGACCGATGTGAGAGTTGATATGATGCCATGCTAGTTGCCCTTGTTGCGCGAGAAGTCCTGGAAGCGCACGAATTGCAAAGCCCAGCTGAAGGTGGACGTGGCACTGAGCTGCTCCGCAGGCCAGGTTTATCACGTTCAGCGCGTCTGGCGTCACCTCCACGGGCGTTGTAATATCCTGGCTGAGCACCCACATTAGGGCCCACAAGGCCGCGGTAAGCTCCGCGGTGTAGGCCGTGGCTTTCTGTTGGCGCACTAGGTCGGCTGTAGATTCAACGACTTTCCATGCCAAGTACCCTCGGAAGCCGAATGGACCACGGCGCGGGCTGTCAGCCGAGTGCTCGTCGACAACCACCACCGACCCTGCCGCAGTCTCTGGTGCGCTGCCGTAGCTACCGTCCGTATAGATGTGCAGCCGCTGCACTTGACAGCCCTGCCTCGGACATAGCTCCAGTGCAAGTTGGGCCATGCGATGGAGCTCATCTTGGGGCAGCTGGCGGGATGCCCCTCCCAAGCTGCCACTGGTGCGGAGCACGACGATTACTCGAACTTGGCTGAGCACTGGTATTATTGCTGAGTTGCTGTGCTGTCCTTGATCAGCCGCATAGTCGAGTGACTTGCAGCGCCTGCAGCGGCTGGTTCGCTCAGCCTGGATGCACTGAGGACTATACTCGTCGTGGTTGCTGTGCGCTGCGGGGCAAGCACGTCGCACGTCGGACGTAGCTGGAAGTGCTGCTGGTGCTGTGAATGTCGCGTGTGACGCCAAAGCTGGTCTGGTTGAGCCGTCGTAGTCGTGTGCTGGCTGCGCTTGAGTATCGCCTTGGTGCCATATTGCGGTTGCAAATTCGTCACCCATTCTCCTGCGGGTGCCTGCCAGCGTCGCGGGAATGGCACACGACTGCTGGCCCCGGCCTTGACCCACGACTGATGACACCCTGCTCACTGCCATTGCTGCTGTCGCCGTTGCTGCCTCCTGTGCGCTGGTCGGTTTGCTGCGGTGCTCGCAATGTGCTGGTCGGTACATTCATCATTCCGTCCTGAGGAGTAGGGGGCTCCAAACCAACGCCCAGGCTGACATATATCTGGGGCAGTACGGTCACAGTCGGCCTCCATGTGCCCGTCGCGCTTGACCCGCGTGGTGGAGCTCGGTGGTGCGCGGTCCACGCTGGAGTCGGATTGAATATCGCTAGCGCTGGCGTTGTTGCCTCCGATGGGGCAAGTGATGCAAGTGGTGCAGCTTGTGTTTGGTCGCTCGCTTGACATTCGTTCTGCTGCTGCCTCATGCTCGGCCGCCAATCGCTGGCGCGCTGTCTGGCACTGTCAGCGTCGCGGGACGTAGTCACGACTACTGACCTAGATGTTGCTGCTACCAACTGTACCGCCAGTGGTTGCTCCGTCATTGTCGCCAACCCCTTTGCGCGACACGTTGTCAGCATCACTGGCCACTATGCAGTCGATAGCAGTGCCGCGGGAGTGGTTCGTGGCTGCTGCTTCGCCATCGAAATCCAGACCTTGATTGCTGTCCCTGTGGGGGTTGGATGGACTGACGGATCGAAATGGGTTGGGCGAGAACCGTGTCTCCTCCCGATCCATGCGTGGCTCTCGACGTCGTAGGCGGCGTCGTTGTTTGCGTCTCTGAGCCACAGCAAAAGCCCTTCTCCAGCACTCCCCTATTAAGCCTTCTTGATCATGATCACTGCCTGACCGGCCACTGGGGAAGGTACTTTGCGGGCCCTCGACGTCCGCGATCTGTATCGCGCCGAGTTGTAGGCCACGATCTGGACAGCATCTTCCCGCGGCGAGGGCAGCCGGCAACGCGTCCTCGCAGCATCTCGGGCTTATTACCTGGAGCCTGTCTCGCGTGGGCTTTGGTCTCTGCCCGTGAGGCAATGCTCTGGCCGAGGTGCTGCCCGGCGCCCCTTGTGGCGCGGCAGCAGGCCTGCTTGGCCTGGGTGGTGTCGCCTTAGCCCCTCGAAACTTTGGCGACGGTGTCGGCGCCTGCCGCTTGCTGCTGCTGCTCGATGTCCAGCACCTGGCAAGCTCTGCTGCGGCCTGCCCCCTTGTCGGCGGGGCGCCGGCCTCGCGAGACCTTCTACTCCTCGGGCTGATCTGCACTGAGCGATATTAAAATGCACGAGAGGAAGTGGGCAAGTTGCTGTCTGAAGAAAGAAAAAGCAACATAACTATAATGTGACAAACTTGACAAACAAGATCGACAAAACAAAAAATGCAGCGCATTCAACTTGATAAGGGTAGCGCCGGGCTGGCGCATTGCAGTGGAAGCCCCCGCTGTCTCGGTGAACATCATCGCCTCGCCGGCTCCCAACGCGTCCGTCGTCGGGCCCCGACGCTGGCCAATTCCAAGGAGGATGCGCACTGAGCCCGCATCTGCTCCATCCCGCCGCGCCGGCCCCATCGGACGATCCCTGGCAGCGAATTCTGTCGCGCATGTCCTGGAGGTTCGCGGCGCCGCTGGGCCGCCCCGCCCCCCTGCGGGGGCGTGGCGGCGCCCGCTGCTGCCGGCTCATCGTCTCCAGGGTCTGCAGGGAAGGAGGCATCGGAACTGGCAGCCCTGGCCTCGTCTCTTCTGCGGGCGACATGGCTACGAAAACGTGCTATCCATGATTTGCCTGAGTCGATGCGCTGCCCCTTGGCCGCTCCGCACCTGGGGGCCATCGGGAACTTGGGCGCTGGCTCAAAAGACTCCTCGGGCGAGGAACTTGCTGCCGGCGCATCGGTGAACTGCCTGGTGGGCACGTCGAATTCGTCATGCTGCGGCTCGAGACTGCTGCCTGCCGCGCCGCCCGCTGTCTGATCCCTCGTTGCCAGCTGCCGAGTGAGAGCGAACTCCTCCCGTGCCGTCGCGCTGCGCGGTAACTCATGGACGCTCGCCGGCAAAAGCTGCGCCGGCGTCAACGACGCGTCGCGCTCCCCCCTCGGGCTGTCAGGGATGTAGATTGTGAGAGGTATCTCTCCAGCCCTCGGCGTGGCTGGCTCTGGCAGCTCGGTTGGGTTGGGACTGGCCCTGGACGTTGAGGCGAGGTCGGCATCGGCATCGCGGCCACGTCGCTCGCCAGCCTCAACTTGTTGCCCTGCCGAAGGCCAGGCGGCGACCATTGCGCGGGGCATATTCCCCTGAGCACTCCTCGACCGCGCCTGGAGGGCTGCTACGCTCGCGAGGTAGACCGTGACCTTGGTCCGTGCACTGCGGCGGTGCCAGTCCTTCCTCGACTGCTTCAACTGCCCGCCTCGCTTCATACTCCAGCGCTTCCGCCCCCCACTGCCGCTTCGCCTCCTGCTCTTCCCGCAGCTGTTCAAGCGCCTCCCTGCTGCGCCTTTCTGCCTCGATTGACTGCGATGGCCCGTCTGGGCTGCGCGGCCTGCCCCACCTAGCCCCCGCATCTCCTCTGCGCCTCGCCGGGGAGCGACTGGGCGCGCATGCCCTGGCCGCGAGGCGCTCCTCAGCAGCGCGCGGTGGCGGCAGCTGCTCATGAGGGGGCTGCGGGGCATGGTCTCCTCCACTGCTTTGCTGCTCCTCCTTCTGCCTCGCCTCGCATTCTTGTGCCGCCGCCAAGTAGTCGCCGTGCGACGGCTGTGACTCTGGCGGCTGGCCTCCTTCCGCAATGCACTGCACCGCCTGCTTTGTGAAGTCGTAGTTCTCCCGGCTGGCGCCCCTCATCCCCGCGTAGAGCCTGCTGAGAGGACCTCCAAGTGCTGGAGCTGCACCATGAGCCGGCCCACTTCCGACTCCCCCTTGCAGCCTTGCCCTCTGGCACCTGCAAGCTCATCATGTAGCTGCTGTCTGTGCTGGAGGCCCTGCCGGTGGGAGTCGTGGATGGCCTGCCCCCGATGGACCTTCTGCTGGCTGGCAAAGTCCCCCACCTCCGCTGCCTCTACCGCGCTGGCATCTCTGAAGCCCCGCGCCCTTGCCAGCTCCACGTTGAGTGAGAGCTCCTGCCCTTTGCTTTCCTCTATCTGCTCGCGCCGCTGAGTTCGCAGAGCGGGCGCCTCCTGTTGCGCGTGTGGACATGTAGTTGGGCATCATGCGCCACCGCCTCCTCTTGCATCGCCCTGTGGATGAGCTGCTGGGCCTCCCCCGACTGTCTCGCAGCTGACTCCTTCTCGAATGATTTCGCAGCCCCCTCCTCGCGAGAAGCTGTTGACCGCGCGCGGGCCAGTGCCATCTTCAGTGTCTGGGCGTCCACTGGCGCTGCCGGCTCCGAGTTGGAGCGCGCTGCCACCTCCGCGAGCTGGTTGACAGCTGAGACTCTGATCTCCTCAACCTCCTGGCGAGCTGGCCCTCCGATATGTTCTTCGCGCGCCTCAGCTGCCTCAAAATAGACCTTTGCCTGTGCCGGCTGCTGCTGCTGTCGAGAAGCCGCGTCAACTACTCGCTGCAGCTGCTTGGCCGTCGCTGGCGGCAGGATGCCTCCCCCCTGTGCTTCGCCAAGCTCTCGCGCTGAAATCTCGCTCGCCTTCTGCTCGGCCCCGATTCTCGTCTTGGCCAGCTGCTCTTGGCGCGCTTCCCTCGCGGTTCTGACCCTCTCCTCGAACAGCGTCTCGCGTCGCTGGAGCTGCTGGCGGCGCGCGCCTGCTGCCGCGGCTGACTTGGCGACCTCGCGCTGCGCCTGCTGCGGCGCTCTCGCAACCTCCTGCCTCGCCTGCGCGAGCTTCCTCCGCAGCTACTCCGGCGGGGCCGCCGGCGCTGCGCGCGCCGCCCTGGCCGCCTCAAGTTGCGGGCGAAGCCCTTCTGCGCGCAGCCTTTCGGCGGCGGCCTCGGGCATCGCGCGATCGCATGCAGCATTTTGCGTTCGGCATCTGGTCTCCAGCTCCATCGAATGCTTCTGCGAGTGGTCGAACCTCCCCCGAACAAACCCATGCCTCACGGCAGCAACTCCCCCCAGGCGGCGCCCCTCCACCAGGCCCCCCCCCCCCCCCCCCCCCCCCCTTCGGAACTGCGGGGGCGCATCGCCTTGCTCCTTCGCCGCTAGCCCGAGCTTCGCTTGCCCCTCATTGCGGCGCAGAGCTTGCTCCCTCGCCGCGCGCCTGACCTGCTGAATCTCCGCCACGCCGTGCTCCTCAGCCTCCTCGTGCCTTCGCTGCTGCTGGGCCCGCTCCGCATGTGCTTTCGCCGCCTGGTCAGCGAAGCCGCGGTTGGCGCCGCCTGTGGAGCTCGCCCATCAGCGCGGCGCGCGTTGCGGCGCGGCACTGGGCCAGCCTGCGTCGGCACCTCCAGCTGCTTCGCTGGCCAGGCGGCGGTCGACCTACGCTTTTTGAAACTTCCCCCAGTCCAGCGCGCCCCCGAAGCCGTCTGCGCCAAGCCCTTCGTCGTCGGCGGCGCCGTCGAGGGTGGCGTCCGCCAGCGCGGCCCTAACGTCCGAGATGTCGGGCCCCGCATGCTCGAGTTCCATCATGGCCTTGTCCATGGCCTCCTTGCCTTCGGCTGTCTTGGCCCTCAGCGCACTCACCGTCTCCTCCAGCATGACCCTGCGCTTGGATAAATCTTGCAGCTGCTGGTCTGGCCTCCCGGTGACGAGCCCGTGGTACCTTGCCATGCTGAACTCCCGCATCTGCTCGTGGGTGCGGTCGCCGGCCGCCTGCTTCGCAAGGACAAGGTCACCCAGCTGCCCCAGTCGCTGCTCTGAGGCGCTCAGTAACTTCTTGATGCCTGGGCGGTCGAAGGGGGGCGCCTGCCACTTTGGATGATTTGTGGCTTCGTCCAGCGTGCAGGGCGCCACGTCGTCAATAACCTTCTGCACTTTCTGGTCCGCCTTGCACGAACTCGCCGGGGCTGCCTTTTGTCCAGCTGGTTGTCCGTGCTTGCCACTGGCAGCCGCTCCTCTGCTGGTGGCATTGCGACTTCTACTGCCTGCTGCACTGGGGGAGGACCACGATAGCTGCCTCTGCTGCTGCTGCTGCTGTTGCTGCTGCTGCTGCTGCTGCTGCGGCTGGTCCCACCATGAGCCCTCTCCTGCTGGTGACGGACTCCACTGGGCCTCTTGCCAACTGTTGCCCCTCCCGCGCCCTGTGCGCCAGGGCGGCTCCGTGGTTTGGGCTGTCTGACTGGCTGCCCGCCCTTTGCCACGTGTGCCGCCTCTGACTCCTCCCATGCCATGTCACGACGTCGCTGACTGGGGGGGGGGCTGCGCTGGTCCTGCTGCTGCTGCTGCTGCTGCTGCTGGGCGCTGGGGTGACCGTTCAACACCTGGGCGGCGCCGAGGACCCAGAGGAGGGTCCGCGCAGCGGCCCTCTTTTCCCGCTGCCGCCTATGCCAAGCCGGCTCGCCCTCGCGCGGCTGCGCACCGCCGCGGCTGCGGCGCCGATGGCGCGCTGCGCGCGGCGCGGCCGCGAGCGGCGGAGGCGACCGACGAGACGACGGCCCCGCCCCTCCTCAGCCCGTGTTGTTTTTCTTCCTCCTTTTCCTCCTCTTCCTCCTCCTCCTCCTCCTCCTCCTCCTCTTCCTCCTCCTCCTCCTCCTCCTCCTCCTCATCCCGTTTTTTCCTCCCTCTCCTCCTCCTCCTCATCCTGCGGAACCCTCCCCCTAGTGTGCCGCGGGTTCCACAGTTCCACAACGGCTGCGGAAACATATAATCCGATAGCGTTGCCAGACTTCGGCCCAACGTTAGGCCGCATGGGCGTTCCCCGAAGGCGGGGGGGGTGATTCGCCGCAACCGTCTTCGATGACTGAGTGTGCCTCAACGCCCGTATGCCCAAAAAACGTTTGCAATTCTAGTTTGGAAGAAGGAGCAGAAGATAACTGAAAAATCAAGCTGGCACTATTTTGAGATAGCGTGGCAGTCACAAACCACTTCTCAAGGTCACACCGCAGATGGGCTGCACAACCGAGGCTGCACGAAAAAGATTGGCACACCAGCCCGCGTCGCCAAGATGGTCGTCAATGCCTCGCCTGTGATTGTCGAGATTCCCGTTGCCATTCAAAAAGCGATTCTGCCAAGTGACGACCACCACCCACGCGAACACACCTAATAGAGAAGGTATCACTGTATACACGTCCCAGGTACACCACGTCGCAAGATGTGTTGGTAAACCGCCCTCGTATCCATTATTGCTCGCTGTCTCGAGTCGCGAATCCGAGAGTCGAACCCTCGCAAAAAAAAAATCGTGCACCTCGGGCAGATCGCTCGAAGGACCGCCTGGACCAGCGAGGGGACGAGCGGCACCGTCTACTCTTCGGCGCGGGCGTCCAGGCACAGGTCAGCTCCGTGGAGCAGCACCCACCCACGGATCTAGACCTCCGCCGCGCCTCGGGCCATAAGGCTACCACCACGATCTTCGCAAGGGTCTACGAAAACATAGACCTGGCCAGCACCATCAACACGAGGAGGATCAGGCACAAGTGCGCTGAACTAAATATGGATATCACTGACGCTGATGGTGTGAAGACTGTGTCCACGAACAACAGTATGCAATATTGCACATTGTCCTTAATAGACAACAGCTCAAAACGCAACTTCCAGTTGTAGATATGGCGTAGGAAGACCATCGTGTTAGACACAAGTTGTCGGATTTCCTTACGCCGCAGCAGCAAGCGCAAACATGCTCAGGACACAAGCCTGAGTCCTGTTGCGGATCCGTGGGACACAAGACACAGCAACATTCCGAAACGAAGATCACAGGATCGCAAGCGCACTCAGGAAGACTGCAACAAAGCAAGCGTCCGAGCCAAGCTGGGCTACAGGAAAGAAAGAGGGGGAGGCGGCGAGGATGGAATTTGAAGGGAAAGAGAAGGGGGGCAGGACAAAGTGGAAGAGGAGGGAAGGCCTACGGAACCCTCATAGGCGAGCCGATCGCCAATCGCTGCAGGAGCGAAGCAGGACTGGAGGTAGATAGGGGCGGAGGGAGAAAGGAAAGAGGAACAGGAGTTGGAGGGGGGCTCTCCAGACTATCACGCACCCTCCTGGGAATCCGCCGCCAACTTCTGTCCCACCCCCCACCTCGGCCCTCCCCCCTTCCGCCCCCATCGCTCCCCATCACTTCACGCCGTGATGGTAGGCATGATGGGCAGCCGTGGATCGCCAGCAGCACGTGTCTCCGAGTTGAACTGTCTTGTGTCTGACTGGGGTAATCGGACCCGGGGGGCTGTGGCAACGCCACATTCCTCTCTTGCATGGTTTTTTCGAAGTGCATCCTCCGTGATGACACGCATCCGTTGCCTTCCTGCCAAGCTAACTCCTGAGTTCTCTGCGTTGTCGGAATCCTGGTGGGTCCCCTAGCGGCGGGCTGGTTGGGCATGCTTGGCAGAGGCTCTCAACCCACAATCCTGGCTGACATCCAGGGTTGATGAACATGGTCTAGGCCTCCTGCGTGAAACTGCAAAGCCGGCAAGCCGAATCAACGGGGCTGCATCCTTGACCAGCCCGCTTCAAACAAAACCTTGCCCAACGAAGTGTGGCACGGTTGACGCCAGAACTCCTGCCATGCTTGATGGATCGGTCAGGCCGGAGGAGGAAGAGGAAAAGGGGGAGGATCCTGGAGCCAGGGTTGGCCCCCTCCTCCCACTCTCGCCTCCTCCTGGAGGAGCGCGCGGAGATCTCCTGTGCAGCCGCTCTGCGATCTCGAGCGCCTGGCCCTGCGGGAGGCCGCAGGCTGGTTGACGGGAGCGGCGCGCGGTCAGACGCTCCCTCGGAGGAAGACGGAGAGAACGGGGAGAGAACACAAAAAAAAAGAGAGACAGAGAGAGACAGAGAGAGAGAGACAGAGGGACAGAGGGACAAAGAGAAAGAGAGACGCATTGACTTGTTCCGTCGGCAGCGAGGCGGGACGATCCGCTCCAGCGTGGCAGGAACGACGCATAGACAGGGAGACGGGGAGACAGGGGAACAGAGCGACGGAGAGTCAGAGAGACAGCGAGACAGAGAAATAGCGAGGGAGAGAGGAGGGAGGAGGTAGAGAGGGAGGATGAATAAGAGACGAGGAGGGACATGAAACGAGAAGACGGAGGATCTAAGACAAGCTAGGCACGATCGCGCAATATCTGACTTTCTAACCCGTTCAAACCATCCCTTCCCATTGCGCTTATTGTTTCCCTATTCGCGGACGCGTGTCATAGCGGACCTGGTCAAATCAAGTCAAATCCGGACGAGGAGCCTAGGAGGCACCTCGCGCCGTAGGCGGGGACGGAAGGCGTGAGACACTACGGCAGCATAGCGCGAATGCAAGAGAAAAGTGGCGGATAGGGCGCGTTTCTTTATGTTCGGAGATGACGGGGAGGGGGGGGAGGGCGGGGTGGGGGTATGACGTAACGCCCCCACCCCGCCGTGTGGCTCCGGCACCACAGCCGCGCCCGCGCGCACGACGCGACGAGCGACGAGCGACAGCGACGACGACGACGACGCGAGCAGCATGTAGGTGGCGATCTGCCCCAGTGCGCCTGTGTACACCACAACGCTCGCGTGCACCACAACGCGCGTGTACACCACAGCGCCTGCGTACACCGCGACAGCCGTGTGCAACGCACCGCCTGTGTACACGTGTACACCACAGTGCTTGGGAACACTACAGCGCCAGTGCACATACACCGAAGTAACCATGTGCAACACAACGCCTGTGTACAACACAATGCTTGCGTGCACCGCAGCGCCTGTGCACGCCACAGCGCCTGTCTACACCACAGCATCTGCGTGCAACGCAGCACTGGTGTACACCACAGTGCCTGCGTGCATAGGACAGGTGGAAAGAGCATGTACGTGAGGATCTGCTGCGGACACCTAGACGCCACGCCAGGAAAGTTCTCATAATCGAATGCGACGTTCTGCCCTCCTACCTCCTCCTCCCTCCTCCTCCTCCTCTTCCTCCTCCTCCTCCTCCTCCTCCTCTCCTTACCCCGTGTCGTGCGGCTTGGCGCAACAGCGCACGTGCGCATCTCAGCGTGCACGGCAGAAGGGCCGATTGAATCGGTCCACTTGATTCGCGGCCGCAGCGATGGATGGCCGCACCCGCATCGATGGATGGGATGGAATTTACGTTTGCAGCGCCGTGCGTAGCCGAGGCCGCGCGTCGCTCAGCTGCGGGAGCGCGGGGGGCGCGCCCCGCGGCAGAAATCCCCCCCACGCCCCCCCCCCTCCACAGCCCCGCCCCGCCCCGCCCACCCTTCCTCGCGAGCGGCGCCATGGCTGCGGTCTGCCCTAGGTCCGGGTTCCTCCTCGTCTTCCTCCCTGCCCGCCTCCCCCCCCTTCCCGTCAGATGACCTGCCGGCCCTCCTCACCCTCCTGCCCTGCATTCTCATCCCCCCGCGCCCCCGACGCGAGGTCCCCGAGCCCTCGCCATTCTCCCGTGGGTCTCCTGTGTATCCTGAGTCTCTGGGCCTCTCCGAGGCTTTCGCTTAGTGGAGGATTGAGGAGGTCCCCGAGCGCACCCAGTGTCTGCAGAGCCGCGTCCAGCCGCGGCGGCGAGGAGCACCCCCCGAGGGCCAGACAGCCCCCAACCTCGAGCCTCCAGGCTCGAGGTTCGAGCCTCGACGTGGGCCCGTCGGGTCCGCAACGCGTTCTCCTCCGCAGTTCCAGAGCGTTCAAGGTGTTATCGGGATGGTGTCAGAGTGTTACCAGGATGTTACCAGGATGATATCATGATGTTATCAGGATGTTATCATGACATGTTACCACGATCTTGGAAACATGCCTGAAAACATGTTAGCAAAATGCCTGCATCATGATCCTGAGAACGACCCGCACGCGGCATGATAACAACCTGATACCGACCCGCTAACGTTCATACACCCCTTCGTGACACAATCGCCCCTCGCCCCCGTACTCATGTGGGTCCAAGCGGTAATCGCTTAGCGGCCCATCCGCTATCGTTTTGTGATCCGTCCGCTATCGTCGGAGCGCACCAGCCCACGACACCTGCAATGCCGCGCGGCCGTGTGGACGACGACGCCAGCGACGCGGCCAGCACCGTGAGCGCGGATGCTCTCCGTCTGGGCGGCTTCGGCACGATCGTCGACGGCGCGCCGTCCGACCCCGAGCCAGAGGACCAGCCGATGGCGCAGCCAGAGGACCAGCCAGAGGACCAGCCAGAGGGCCAGCCAGCGGACCAGCTGACGGGCGCCAATCCCCATGACTCGGACCCGACGACCGTCGGCGACAGCGAGGCGGCACCGAGGGCCGCGGACACTAACAACGAGACCGCCTGCCCGATCTGCTTGCAGGACCTGGCTGATGACCCCAACGAGGATGACGATATGCCAGCAGACGGGCGACCTCCGCCCATGGCGATCCTTCCGTGCATGCACCCCTTCCACAAAGTCTGCGTCGACAGTATGCTAGAGCTGGGCAGACCCGGCATCAACTACGTGAGGTGCCCGAAGTGCAAGATGACGCCGCAGATGCTCGCCTTGCGCCTGGAAGCCCTACTGAAACCGCCGATCACTATGCCGCCCCCTCCGATCAGCACGCCTGAAGGCACCGTGGCCGTGCTCGACTCGCCGATCGGCAGGGCTCTCGGAGCCGCGCGGGCAGTGGCTTTCAGTGACGCGACATCAGCCGCGCCACTGGTGCCGATGACCCCAGCCACGACCGCCCCCAAGACGTCGCCTGCCACGCCGCCGCCCAGCTTGACGCGCCAGCCAGCCACGCCAAGCTTTTTCGTTAGCCAGCCTGCCACGCCGACCGAGGTGCCAAGCCCGGAGGCAACGCCGCCCCCAGGGCGCGCGCTGACCGCGCAGCCGACGTCCTCGGCGCCCCCGTCGGCGGCCGCGTCGGCGGCAGCGCCGCCGCTGGCTGCCCCGCCCGCGGCAGCGCCGCCAGCGCCGTCAACGGCCAGCAGCGCCGCCTCCGCCGCAGAGCCGCCGCCGCCGAAGGCCGCGAGGAGCCGCCTTCGGCGGATGGGACGTCTCGCGCCCACGGACACAGACGGCGCGCCCGAGCCGCAGGCCGAGCCGCAGGCCGAGCCGCCCGCCGCAGACGACGCGGCCATGCCTCCGCCGCCAGCCCCAGCGGCCCCTCGGCCAGTCAAGTACGCGCTGCGGGCGGTGCCGAAGCCGTCTCAGGCAGGTCCTCGTCGTCGTCCTCGTCGTCGTCGTCCTCGTCCTCAGCATCGTCGTCGTCGCCGTCGTCGTCGTCGTCGTCGTCGTCGGTCGTCGCAGGCACCCGCGACCCTGTGCACGAGGGCGGCTTTCATGCAGGACTTCCGCATTAAGTGCGGCGACGGCGGGTCGGACGTCGAGATCGCCGATGCGCGGCTCCGCTCTAAGGGGCAGAACAAGTACCGCTGCGGCAGGCGCGGCGTTCACATCACTCAGCTGCCGCGGGCGCTCGGGAGCTGGCCCACGGAGGCGTGCCTTGGGCGACGAGGCGAAGGTCCAGTTCTACAAATCCATTCGCGACGACACGAGCCCCGTGGACATCGAGGAGAGGTGCGTCCAGTACCTCAAGGGGCATGAGCACCGCGAGGACTGGCACGCCGAGGGGGGGGGGGGGTCCTCCCCCTCAGCGCCTGGGCGACCAACGGCTACAACGCCAAGGACGTCGAGGAGAAGTGCTGCCCTTGGGGCGTTCGCGAGCACCGCGTGTTGGGGGCTACTTACAGGGCGCCAATTTACCCCGCGGGCACCAGGGGCGCCAAGGGCAAGGCCAGGGAGGAGGAGAACTCGGGCGCGGGCCCGTCTCGCAAGAGGAAGGCGACTCAGGACGGCGGCGAGGATAGCCAGGATGGCTCTGACTCCCCCAGCAACTCGTCCTCGAGCAAGTCTGGCAACCAAGAAGGAAAAAGAGGAAGCGCGCAAAGATGGACAAGAAGACGGCCAAGCAGGAGAAGCGCAATAAGGAGAAGGAAAAAGGGAAGGAGAAGCAGAGGAAGGCGAAGGAGGCCGCGACGAAGAAGTTTCACGCAACGGACGCCAGGCTCGCCGATGCGGTGGGTGACAAGGCCGACGACACGAAGCGCAGCCTGATCGCCTTGTGCGATGATGAGATGGTCGGTGGGCTGCCAGATATCGCCAAGACGTCCACGAAGGCAGCGAAGACGCAGGCGACAGAGATCGCGAGCGACTGCAAGAAGGTGCGCGACGGCGAGTTTGGCCACGCGATCCGCCACGTGAAAGACGCGAAGGAGTGCAAGTTCCTCTCGGCCGACCCCAAGGGGAAGGTCGGGAACGCGAAGCAGATGGCGAGCCACGCGCGCAGGTTTGGTTGAGTGGCCTGCGCACTGCATGATGTCTCGCGCACCTTGGGGGCCCGCGCGAGATTGGCGGCGCTCGCCAGATGTGTCGCGAGCGCTCGTCGAACGACAGCGCGGGGCGCGAAGCCGGACAGCGCGCTCTCGGGCGCATGTACATGCCCAGCGGTGAGGAAAACAACAGGCGCGTCGGATCCCCCCCCCCCCCTTGAGCGGCCACCTAGGCCACCCCAAGGGCGCAAAGATAATCCCGCTTCACGAATCGAGGCCCGGGCTGGGGAGGCGACCTTTTCCAGGGGGCGGCGCGAGGGCGCGAAGGTAGCCGCGCGTCGCGCACCGCGGGGCGCGATAGCTCCGGGCGGTCGCCCGCAGGATCGCCCCGGTAGCTCGCCCGAGCGGCCCGTGCGGTCGCCCGAGGTGACCGAGCGTCACCCGCTGGATAGGTCCGAGCGGTCA